CTGCTGCCAAAGGGGCTTGAACCTAGGATCTTCGGATGCAAAGCCAGGCACCCTACCTCCAAGCCACGGTCTCTCCATTGAGAAAGGAAGGGACGACTTTCGGTTTTCAAAATCTCTCCCAAACGCACCGCCATCCCCCAAAATATCGCGCGCACATTTGGAAAGAAGAACGCCACTTCACTCAGTTGCCGAGAAAGAAGAGGCGCGCAAGCTACAACCTACCTGTTTGTTCAATTAGAAGTAATACAATTAAAATGATTATAAACACATTAGGCTACCTGTATTTATGTTTTAGCTATTCTGCGGGGACGTCTTGTGCCATAAGAACTCACTGCCACCATATTTCTGCCTACAGCTCATCGTTCCCCGTGCTTTTGGATGGGGGTGTTAGGCAACTGGAACTCCCCAGATATTTTTGGACTGCCACACCCATAATCTCTTATTATTGGCTATACTGGTAGATGGCAGCTAAAGTTCAAAAGCATGTGAAGGGCCACAGCGGCCCCTTGCAAAAACCTAGGAAAGAACAAATGAAATTAGTGACCCACATATACACCACAGAGTGACCAGGAACAAAACATGCAAACTACTGTATATACTCGAATACAAGCCTAGTTTTTCAGCACAATTTTTTGTACTGAAAGTGCACCCCCTCGGCTTATACTCGAGTCAGTGTGCTGAAAATGCACCCCCTCGGCTTATACTCAAGTCAGTGTCAAAATCACATGTTTCCCCCTGCAGTGCAGGTGTTCTCTAGACTCCCCCGTTCATTTATGGTCGCCCACACACTCTGTGGGTGGTCCGATACCCCGGGTTAAGTGCACTGCTTCCAGGACACTCCCATCCTCCTCTTCCTCCATATTCTATGTACCCACCTTCCTCCTCCCACCTTCCTCCTCCATCCTCTGTCTCTGCTTATACTGCTGCATTTTCCACCCTCGGCTTATACTCGAGTCAATGAGTTTTCCCAGGTTTTTTTTTTTTTGTAAAATCGGGTTCCTCGGCTTATATTTGTGTCAGCTTATACTCGAGTATATGCGGTTTTTGATTATCATCCACATGCACAGAGACATTTACAAATGTACACACACAACACACATACACACAGGGCCACACATGGGGAGCCTATATGACAATCAACCAGTGTTTCACCTGTCGGGCAAGAATGTTATCCCCTCCTCAAGTACTATGTATTGGGAGTGTGGAAAGCCAATAATGCCTTCTAGATATTTTACATCAGAATTCCCATCATTCCTAATTACTGGTTGTCCTGGCTGAGGCTTTGGGGATGCAAACCAGCTGAGTACTTAGGCCTCACTCTGAAACCAATGAAAGCTCTAGAAGAATTCAACCCTTTTTCAAAAATCCCCACCAATGAGTTTATAACCTTAACCCAGATGCTACTGTATCATGGAAGAGTGGAATATCTCAATTCAGTTCAGCTTGGTAGAAACACAAGGGCTAGAAATCTGCTTCCTTGAATCCATTTTTGCACAAAACCCCTCTTGTAATATTCAAACACTTTCATGGGCTGAGACAGAAAAACAAACGACGAAACAAAACTCAACAGAAGTCGGTAGATTTCTTAGGACATATTTGGGAGGAACAGCAGCTCCTTTTTGGCCTTCAAAAAGAATATTCTGTACTGGCAATTAAATGTTCTTCCTTAAAAGTGATTTTGTTTGGTTCTAAATATTACCCTGTAAACTCAGGGATCAGCTGAAATAATGTTAATCAGCCAGGTACGTGTCCTATGTAAAAAGAAAAGTACCGAGTTACAAGGACTGGTGATTACTGCACACAATAGACTAGCTAACTTTATTTTATTTAGACTTATACTCTGCCCCTCTAGACAAAGTCTACTCGGGGCGGCTAACAACACCCATCAATCACAGTGACGAACCATCTCCCCTTTATCACAACAAAACAGCCATAACAGAAAACACCCTGATCACCCTAATCACCCAATCTCCTGAAAAGGACAAAAAGCTGATCCCACTGCTACAAATATTCAACTATCCCACACACTACACCAGAACACAGACAGAGTTCTGACTCCTGTCCTCTGAAGAGGCTGGCCACAGAGACTGGCAAAACGTTAGGAAGAAAAACCTCCAAACAGCCCAGAAAACCAACAACAACGAAAAAAAATACTATCCTTAACCAACATGGCCATTAGTAATGCTAACTGGGAAACGGCAGATTGGAGGAAGTTATGCTGGCTACAACAACCAAAAAAAATACTATCCTTACCAACATGGCCATTAGTAATGCTAACCAGGAAACGGCAGATTGGAGGAAGTTATGCTGGCACAGAAAGACTATGCATTAAGTTGACTCTCTAATGGAAAGTGACCAGAGAGACAATAAAATAGATTTCACCCCCAACCCTGGCCAAGAAAATGGAACCCGCTGGTTTGCCACAATCATGTCTAGTCTGGGAGGAAGGAAAACCAGACTAGGACAAGACTTAGCACAATTAATTACAGCCGGGCCCTGCTTAACGATTGCCCCACATTACAACGAATCCGCTTTATGACGATCTTTTTGTGATCGCAATTGTGATCGCAAAATGATGGTCTAAATGGGGGAATTTTGCTTGCCGATGATCGGTGTGATGATTTGTGTTTTTATGTGTCACCCCCATAAATCTCTTTGGAGATACGGGGCTGCTTCTGGAACCGATTTTCGCTTTAAGACGATCAAAACCAGCTGATTGTCGGTTTTCAAAATGGCCGCCGGGTGCTTAAAATGGCTCCCCGCTGTGCTTAGGGACGGATTCCTCGCTATACAGGCAGCGAAAATGTCCACCGTATGGAGGATCTTTGCTGGACAGTGAGTTTTTACCCCATTGGAATGCATTGAACAGGTTTCAATGCGTTTCAATGGGGTTTTTAATTTCGCTTTACGATGTTTTCGCTTAACGGCGATTTTCCTGGAATGGATTGTTGTCGTTAAGCGAGGCACCACTGTATTTGTCTCAGCCAAAGTCTGTCAACAAGATGTAACAAGGTGCATTAGGTAAAACCGAGAAGTGCATGAAACATCCTGCTCTGACTGAGTGTACATTTTCTATCTGACATACAGTGGGTAGGGAAGGATTGTCCTGTTCACCTCCCACTCCTCACCAGCCACTGCCACCACCAGCTCATCAACGGGTTTGAGTGTGCGGCAGTGGTGGGGGCAAATCACTGCGCTTGGGGCGCTTCCTCTCCCGACTGAGTGGATGTCCACTGATGCATGCAAAATCTCTTTTCCAAACGGCTGCTGGTGCCTCTGCTCCACCCCCACTGCACACTCATTACTACTGCTCTTTCCATGACCTGGAGCATCGCGAGGTGCCAATACATCCTCTCTCTTTGATCAGATCAGACAGGGCAGGCGGAGTAACTCTGATCCATACAGGATCTCTCCATCTCCAAGTCGAAGAAGCCAAGCCCACCATCAATGAGCCTTCAGACCTGCCAGAGGACCCACCCACACTGAGATGGGGGGGAGTAAACCCATAAAGAGTCATCGAGTTGCAGCGTGGAATAAGGCTAAGGGTAGCCCAGAAGTGTGAGATTTTGGGGGGCACCCATGACAATACAGTGGGGAGACCCGTCAGCCGGGAAGAACACTCCACACCAAGCTTCTAACATCGGAGTGATTCAGAATCCCCCACGCCTGGGTCCCAACGCGTTGGTTCATCATCTTTCGATTCAGCAAACGCACCCGTGGCTCTAATTAAGGAAGGCGACACAGAGTTCCTTGAGCAATGTTACTGCTTTTGTGATTCAAGACTTCAAACGCCAAATATCACATAAGACAGCGATGCAGCATCCCCTACCCTAATAGGGTTGCCTTTCATTCTCTTAAGCTGCCTTTTTTTTCCAACCCAGTGCCCTGAAATGGGGTTGACTATACCCGCTCGTGATTCAGACAGCTTATATTCCCAACCAACAAGCTGCCTAGGGACGATGGGATGTATAATTCGGGCTATCCAGAGGGCACCAGTCAGAAGAAGGCTGCTTTACAGAAAGCAAGACATGGGTCCTATGCACATTCCCCTGAGACCATGAAACACAATGAGACTTACAGTGCTGCCCTGCTGGACGATTACCCCGTTTGACGACGAATCCGCTTAATGTTGAAGTTTTTGTGATCGCTTTTGCGATCGCAAAACGATGTTTAGATGGGGGAATTACGCTTAGCATTGATCGGTTCCCTGCTTCGGGAACCGATTTTCGCTTTATGACGATCAGCAAACAGCTGATCGTTGGGGTTCAAAATTGTCGCCGTATTTTTCCATGTATAATTTTGTCTAAAATCTTTAGACTAAAAATTGAGGGTCGTCTTATAGACGGAAATAAGCTGAGGATAGAAGAACAAGTGGAAGGGAAAGCGGGGATCGAAGCGATCCTGCACCACTTTGATCCCTTTCCCCCTACACTTGCTAAACCCCTCTTAGATTTCTTAATTTTGGATTAGAAAAGTGGGGGCGTCTTATACATGGGGGTGTCTTATACATGGAAAAATACGGTAATCTCCTCTCGAGTTATTTTGTGGGTGCATTTGTTGCCGTACTAACTGAAAACTTCTGATCACTATGTTCTGACTGTGAAAATGAACTCAATGGCAAGCACCATAGCAATAAATTTCGCACCCTGACCCTCTCTGTCCTTCAAGGAGGTCATCATGAGACCATTGCTGAAAAAGCCATTATCTTCCCCAAAGAGCAGCCTTGAAACTTTGATGGAGGAGGCATAATTTGCCCGGTTAAGCCCAGAGGGATCGAAGAGAGCTGTTGCCTCCAAAGGACCACATAAGCACCTTCTCGATTCCCACCGTAGAAGCAGGAAGGATGGTTAAGACTGTATCTTCGGAATTAAAATCAATCAATCAATAAAAATCACACCCTCCATAACAGGTTTCTCTTGTTGGCCGATTGATCTATTCCCCACCCCTCCAGTAGATATGCATGTACAGGAACACGAAGCAAAGTGGCCACATGGACTTACCTACATATTCTGGATCGACACGGGGGGAATAAAGGCCAAATTTGATGAAGATGGGCAGGAGGAAGCCAAAACGAACCCACTCGATAACGTAAAGGGGGGGACTTGCGTCAGCTGGCTTGAGTAAGTCGCAGCTCAAAATGGCGCTCTCTCCTATTCGGCCAATCACAGCGCGGGGCTGTTCTTCACGTTCACCTGCTGGTGAGGAATGTTTAGAAAGTATGATCAACGACACAGAACCTAGACATTTTTCTGCCTATCCTCTTCCAAAAAAGCTGCCAATGTTTTGGTCCGCGCAAAGCCCAAGCTGATAACACGGCTAGACCTTTGAAATGACCTCATCAAGCTTTTGCTTTGCTGTGGATTTTGGAAATTCACTTTAAATACGGACATCTCAAGCTGATGATGAGTGATCAAATAATGGCTGCCGGAAAGGAACTGACTGAGTGGGTAGGTGGAGTGGCGAATGCCTCCTTCCAACAGGGTAGGATCCTGACATACTTAAAGGAGGCAATAATGAGACCATGGCTGAAAAAGCCCTCCTTGGATCCCACAATACAGTGGTGCCTCGCAAGACGACGACCCCGCTGAACGACGAATCCGCATTACGATGACTTTTTGCGATCGCTATAGCGATTCGCAAAACAGTCATTCCAATGGGGGATTTTCGCTTGACGTCGATTAGGTCCGTGCTTCGCGAACCATTTGTTCGGAAGATGGCGATTTTTCCGGCTCTGCAAAATGGCCCTGTGTTTTCCGGACCCATGCGTCGCAGGGCAGCCATTTTTACAGCTGATCGGTGCTTCACAAAATGGCTTCCCTATGGGCGATCTTTGCTGGACGACGAGGTATTTTCCCCATTGGAATGCATTAAACGGGTTTCAATGCATTCCAATGGGGAAACGGATTTCGCACGACGACGATTTCACTAAACAGCGGTTTTCCCCGGAACGGATTATCGTTGTCCTGCGGGGCACCACTGTACTGAACAATTCCCGGCCAGTCTGTAATATCCCATTCTTGGGCAAGGCGTTGGGAGTGGGTTGTAATTTCTCAGCTCCAGGGGTTCCTGGAGGAGACGGACGATCGTGATCCATTTCAATCTGGCTTCAGACCTGGTGATGACACGGAGACCGCTCTGACTGCCTTGGTGGAGGACCTACGCCAGGAACTGGTCCGTGTGTTCTACTGGATTTTTCAGCAGCTTTCGAGACCATTGACTACAGTGTCCTTCTGGGCCATCTCTCTGGGATGGGACTTGGGAGCCCTGTTCTACGGTGGCTCTAGTTGTGGAGGGACAACTCATAAGGTAGTGCTCGGGGATTCTTGGCCAATGACCGGGGTGTGTGTGTGTGTCCCTTGGGGTTCTATTTTGCCCCCTATGCTATTTAACATCTGCATGAAACTGCTGGGAGAGGTTCAAGAGTTTTGGGGAGTCACCAGTATGTACACAACTCTGTCTTCCTTTCCATCTAAATCCGAGGAAGCTGTTTCAGCCCCAGATCGGTGTCTGGTGTCAGTAACCGATTGGATGAGGGGGAATCCACTGGAACTTAATCCAGGTAAGAACAGAGGTGCACCTGGTCAGTCGAAAGATAGGGATGCAGCCTGCGATGGATGGTGTTCGAGTTCCTCCAAAAAAAAACGTAGGTGTGCAGCTTGGATTCGTCTCCGAGCCTGGATGCCCGACGTTTCAGCAGTGCATCTGCACCGCTAAGATGAGTGTGCCAGCTGCGCCCGTTCTTGGAGAAGCATCTCCACCGGCTGCTTGCCAATACATTTCCGGGCACAATTCAAAGTGCTACGAAGCCCTAAACCACTTGGTTCCGAGATATCTCAAGGCCCGGCTGGTCCCATCGCCGCCGTTCTTCTGCAAGCAGACAAAGGCGTTTCTCCTCAAGCAGGCTTTCCCTCAAGGACTACTTGTCTGCGAGGGTTGTTTGTTTGTTTAAATAAATAGAGTGTTTCAGCCTGTTTTTGGCGTTGATTTTGTTCACCATTTTTTGTGTGGTGGGTTTTTTTGGTTTCTTTTTGTATTCTTACTCTTTTTCGTTTTTAATCTATGATCTTTTAAAGATGGGCCAGTCCTTTTGAAGGATAAAGCCGTGGTAAAAATATTTTAAATAAATGAAATAAATAAATAACAAATCTGTACCAGAGTGTGTCTTTGAGAGACAAGGCACATTCCCTTGAAAGGGGAAATCATGTCCAATTGACCCAGATATATACCGTATTTTTTGCACCATAAGACGCACTTTCCCCCCACAAAACAGGGGGGTGGAAAGTATGTGCGTCTTATGGAGCGAAAAATACGGTACATATATTTTCTAATGGTGTCACTTTGACATTGATGAGGTATCCCTGCCGTGAGGGGAAAGGTGGCTTTCGATCAGTGGGCAGCAGATTCTGAGCACTTTTAAGGGCACTGAGGAGTTTAAAACTGTGGAACATAACCCACTAGAGCAGTGGTTCTTAACCTTTGTTACTCAGGTGTTTTTGAACTGCAACTCCCAGAAACCCCAGCCAGCAGAGCTGATGGTGAAGGCTTCTGGGAGTTGCAGTCCAAAAAAACCTGAGTAACAAAGGTTAAGAACAACTGCACTAGAGCAGAGCCTGGGCCCTCCAGATGTTCTTGGACTACAACTCCCAGAAGCCTTCACCACCACCACCTCTGCAGGCCAGGATTTCTGGGAGTTGAAGTCCAAGAACATCTGGAGGCCCCAAGGTTGGGGAACCACTGCACCAGGGTATTTTTAGCAAAAGAAACCGAAGGTTGCAAGACAGCTAACCTGCTTTGTCTGAAAAAAAAAAAAAGGGTCCCTTTTCAAAAAAGGGATAAAAAAAATAAAATAAAATCTAGAGCAGGACGGACAGAATCCCACCCACCATGGTAGAAAGAAAGGGCAGGTGAGGTGACCAGATAGATGTCAGGCAAAGTCAATAAACTTTGAGGTCAGTATCCTCATCCAGTATTAGCAGAGCATTGCACTCTACCTGTGCTACTCTGGACAATCTCTGACTGGTTGTTCTGCAAGCTGGAAATTGCTCCGTAGCCAAAAAATAAAATAAAATGGGGTGAGGCTTGCAAAAAATGTCACCAACTACCAGCAAGAGCAAACTGAGCAAAGCAGATTCTAGCCTTATTTAGTTGGTTCTAATTTTTAACCCTGCAGCTGAAGTGAGGGAGGAGCCATACATCACAGGCTTGCTTTAGATGAAGGTTAGAGAACATGTCGCTCTTCTGGTGGCATTGGGTAAAAGGTAAAGGTTCCCCTTGACAATTTTCGTCCAGTCGTGTTCAACTCAAGGGGGCAGTGCTCATCCCCGTTTCCAAGCCATAGAGCCAGCGTTTGTCTGAAGACAATCTTCCATGATCACATGGCCAGTGTGATTTAGACACGGAACGCCGTGACCTTCCCACCGAGGTGGTCCCTATTTATCTACTCGCATTTGCATGCTTTCGAACCGCTAGGTTGGCGGGAGCTGAGACAAGCGACTATGGTCACATGCTCCTCTTTGCCTCGGCCTGCTGGACAAGGGACCCTTCAAATTGGGAGAGGCCACAATGCAACGCCTGCCTCCAGGCTCAATGCTCAGAGGTCAAGGTTTCCCATCTGTTGAGGTCCATTCCTAAGGCCTTCAGATCCCGCTTGCAGATGTCCTTGTATCGCAGCTGTGGTCTCCCTCTGGGGCGATTTCCCTGCACTAATTCTCCATACAGGAGATCCTTTGGAATCCGACCATCAGCCATTCTCACGACGTGCCCAAGCCAATGTAGACGGAATCAACCTATAGCGACCCTACTAGGGCTTTCAAAGTAAGTGGGGCATTTAAGGAATGGTTTTACTAGTTCCACTCCCCCAAGTGAGGTTTCCATGGCCAAGTAGGAATTCAAACCATGTTCTCCAAAGCCCTCCTCTGTCATTTTATCCACATTGGGAAACACACACACCCCAAAAAATCTGCGCACCCCGAGAGAAAAAAAAGAGATGCTCCTTACCGTCAGCGAAGCTGCTCCAGACCAGGATGATACAGGCAATCGATAAACACCAATTCATAGCACAGATGCCGCGGCCAGATGCCCTGCAGCACCGCCGGAACGGCCTTCTTGCCAAAACGTCAAGCTGCCAAGAGGACCAACGTTGTGTTGTTCAAGAGGTGGGGGAATGAAAAAACTTCTCAGGCTGCCCTTGCGTGTCAGAACAGCGGCCGTTCGGGGGACGCCACCGGACAATTTGGAGAACAGCCTTGGATTCTCATCCCTGCAGAGTCTCTCTCTCTCTCTCAGTAGCGTTGACCTCCGGTCTTTGGGTGAGAACGCAATCTCCGAGGCCGAAGAGACCAAGTATGGAAACGTCCCTCCAAGGAATTCCTCAGCATAGACCTACACCTGTCGGAGCAAAATTCCAGTCAGGTTCAAAATTAATTTCGGAAACCTGGTTTTTGACCCTAACCAAGAAAAACTTGGGGGGGAGGTCGAGTTGAATCTCAGAGTCGTCCTGCTGGATTATCAGACCAAAGCCGCCTGAGATGGTAGGTCAGGCTTTATCATTGGGGTGTGTGTGTTATAAGGATGTTGTAAGTCTACAGTCTATGCAAGCTGTCCAGAATAGCAGCTGATGATAACTAATTAAGATAATGGGCCACAGGTTGCGTTAACCCTTGAAATGGTACAAGCGACACATACAACAGTCTCTTTTTCCCCAACAGCAGGAAAGCCGGCGTTAGAACAGCCGGATAGCTCAGTCGGTGGTTTAGGTACAGCGGTGCCTCGCTTAACAACGATCATCCGTTCCAGGAAAATCGCCGTTAAGCGAAAACATCGTAAACCGAAATTAGAAACCCCACTGAAAAGCATTGAAACCTGTTCAATGTGTTCCAATGGGGGAAAAACTCACCGTCCAGCAAAGATCCTCCATACGGCGGCCCTTTTCGCTGCCTGTATAGCGAGGAATCCGTCCCTAAACACAGCGGGGAGCCATTTTAATTACCCAGCGGCCATTTTGAAACCACCAATCAGCTGATTAGAAAACATCGTTTTGCGAAGAATCGGTTCCCGAAGCAGGGAACCGATCATCACAAAGCGAAAAAACCCTATTTAGACCATCGTTTTGCGATCGCAAAAGCCATTGCAAAAACGTCACCATGAAGCAGATTCATCGTAATGCGGGATAATCGTACAGCAGGGCACGACTGTATTTGGCTGCAGGCCCAAAGACTGGGAGTTCAATTCCACCACCGAGCCTTCTCGATAGGAGCTAGGCCTGACGGTTCAAAGGGTCCCTTTTCCGCTCTGTAGTTCTAAGAAGACTTTTTCCATACCTTCCTCTTCTGATGTGTTTCCAAACCTTCCCCTCCTTCGCTTTTCTCTTCTCTCCTTTTCAACCTCATTCCTCTCGGTCAATACCTCTTTCCTCCTGTTCTCGCCTGCCATCTGCACAGCAGCTATAAGCAGGTTCATAGTCCATTGTACCTTCCCTGCATATAAAATCTCCCTAACCCGTTCACCTCTGTTTATTATCCACAAAGATGCAGAAAGGGTAAGGGAAAGAAAGAGAACAAGAGGGAGGGAGGGAGAATGAGAACACACCTCTCCCCAGAATCTCTGCCCTTTGCTTTTCCATCGTTTCCCTTGTCAGATCCAATTTTTTCAAGTTGGGCAAATTAAAAAAATCTGGTGCTTAACGTGGAAGCACTTCATCCTTCCAGCACCTCTGACTAGCAGCACAATTTCCCCCCTGCTTCACATTTTCTGATGGGATGTACGTAAAACTCAACCGACAGATGGGCTCTGAAGTTTTATTTTAATGTTCCCTCTCCCCCTGCCCTAAAAAAAAAACAAAACATTGGTTTGGGATCAAAGGGGAGCAAGTCAATTCCGGGGAAATAAGTGAAAGAACTGGACATGGACCAAAAATGAACCAAAAAAGGCAAGCCGAGAAGAAAAGTCACAAGATATCAGAATCATAGTCATAGAATTATGGAGTTTTAAGGGTCCTCTTAAGGTCATCTAGTCTAACCCCCTGCTCAAGGCAGGAATCCAAAGCAAAGCAGATCTAACTAAGGATGGTCCCATTTTCTCTTGAATGCCTCCAGAATTATTAACAACAACAACGAATTGAGTTTGTTTCCCAATTAAAAAAAATATAGGACCCTACATTTGGTCCCTGGGTCACTGGTTCCCAAACCAAGAAATGGAGAAATTCGAAGGACAGCACAAGATTTTGGTATTTCTTACTCGCTGTTTTTTTTTTTAAATCACTTTAAACAATGTATCATTACAGCAAGACAAGATTCCTCCAGAAATATTACGGTAGTTTTTTTTTTTCAATTAAGTTTTTGTGTAAGTTTTATTTTAAAATAATTTATGTTTCTGTAACGCAATCATAGTAAAGGAGGAGCTTCAAGAATTTCTCCAAAATAAAAAAAAAATGTCGAAAATGTTGGGAACCACGATGCTAAACGCAGCCAGAAAGACATTAAATGGCCATGATTCTAGTTGACAAAATAGCTGCAGGGTCAGCTTTATAATTGGGGATAGTAAGCTGTACAGTGGGGTGGGGGGTTTGTCAAAAAAGGATGACCACAGTGTCTGTGGCCGGCCTCTTCAGAGGACAGGAGTCCGAACTCTGTCTGTGCTCTGGGGCAGTCTATGGGAGTCCTGACTCCCGTCCTCCGAAGGGGCCGGCCACAGAGACGGGCAAAACATTAGGAAGAACAACCTCCAGAACACGGCCAAACAGCCCGAAAAACCCACAGCACCCAGACGTTATCCTATATTTTCAGTCATGGCATGTGAAATATTCTATCCTGTCTTTCTCCAATAAGCTCAAGGGGACTGTATGCTGCTCTACAAACTAGGAAGGAATGACAGACTCCAGATTATCCTATGAATTTCATGGCTGCGGGGCGGGGGCTCTGCTTGGATTTGGACAAGACGACTTTGTTGGGCCAGTGTTGGCAGAGCGCTAGAGTGCTGAAAGGCCACATGGGACAACTCAACCATAACCGGCCAACAATCTAGACAAGCCATTCTCAACGGGAATCCTATAACAGGGGGGTGGTGTGGGTTTGGCACATTTGAAGGGGGCCCACAGACTGAAAAACGTTCTATTTTTCTGTTCATCTGTGTCGTATCCGTGTTTGGCAAGAGGTTATGGAACCTCAGAAGAGCTCCTAAAAGGACCATAGTAAATATATATACATTTATATAAATATATACAGTGGTGCCTCGCTTAACGACATTAATTCGTTCCAGTGAAATCGCTGTAGAGCGAAAACCTTGTAAAGCAAAAATAAAAAACCCATCGAAACTCATTGAAACCCAGTTAATGTATTCCAATGGGCTAAAAACTCACCGTCCAGCGAAGATCCTCCATACAGCGGCCATTTTCGCTGCCTGCATAGCGAGGAATCCGTCCCTAAGCACAGCGGGGAGCCATTTTAAGCCCCGGGTGGCCATTTTGAAAACCCGACGATCAGATGTTTAGATCGTCGTAAAGCGAAAATCAGTTCCCAAAGCAGGGAACCAATCATCGCCAAGCGAAATTCCCCCATTTAGACTATCGTTTTGCGATCGCAAAAAGATCATCGTAAAGCGGATTTGTCGAAATACGGGGCAATAGTTAAGCGAGGCACCACTGTAAAAAGGGGGAAGGAATATAGAAGGTCCTCAAGATATGGCCCAATTCTCCCCCGCCAGGGGTGTTTCTAAGCCAAAAATTAAATTTTTTAAAAAAAAATGATATAGGAGGATATTGCCCACTGCTGGAATACAGTCCACCCCTACTCTAGGAAATTGCATGGAAAAGAATTTCCCATTTGTAAACTGCTTGGCCCGCTTAAAAAGGGGGGAAGGACTATAGAAGGTCCTCAAGATATGGCCCAATTCTCCCCCGCCAGGGGTGTTTCTAAGCCAAAAATTAAATTTTTTAAAAAAAAATGATATAGGAGGATATTGCCCACTGCTGGAATACAGTCCACCCCTACTCTAGGAAATTGCATGGAAAAGAATTTCCCATTTGTAAACTGCTTGGCCCGCTTAACTGGAGAGGCTGGTCAGTTGAAGAAGTAGCCAAATCCTCATCAGCAAAAGTGTTTCCGGGAGAAGGGCACTTTGCTTTCAAATGATGGACATGCGTTTCATGGAAGATCTCAAAAGAGATGCTCTTCTTACCTTTAGAGCACCGATATCATATGATCTATATATGGTATAGGCACATTTTGTTTTAAAACATCTGTCTCCTAACAAACTGCTTGCAGTCTGCAACTTTTGTTAAGCATTTATGTATCATTTATTATTAATTAATTGATTTAATTTATATCCCGCCTATCTGGTCAATGACGACCACTCTACGTAGGTGGCTTACAACATAAAATACACAGATAAATACAAAAAGAATTATTACGTAATAATTGATCTAATGCAGGGTATTGATCACCCGTCCGTCAATAAAAGAGCTCAGCTAAGATATATTACGGCTGCTCTCTATTTCATTCAAAATAACCCTGCGCTGTAGGACTGTTGTTTTGCTATAGAGAGATATATCTTATTTTATATATTAGGTTTGGGTGAGATTGGGCTTTTCTTTGTTTATTCTACTGCTGGAATCCGGCCAGAGTAGTGGCTGGACCACTCGATGGAGTGGTATAAAACTAAAATACAGTGGTGCCTCGCACGAGTGCACCGTAGAACAACGAATCCGCACAACGGGGCCATTCTAGCGATCGCAAATGTGATCGCACACCGACCGCCCCTATGGCTCAAAATCGCAGTGCGAAGGTCGGTAAGCGGTTCGCTTACCGCCCTTCGCTTGGCGACCCATCGATCAGCTGTTCGGCGGCTTCAAAATGGCCACCGGAAGCCCCAAAATGGCCACGCGCAGCGTTTTCGCGCCCTCATTAAGCGAGGGGAGGGCGCGAAAATGGCTGCCGGCCATCGGAGAAACATCGCTGTACGGTGAGTAAAGCTGCTATTGGAACGCATTAAACTAAGTTTAATGCGTTCCAATGGCTTTTTTTGATCCGTACAGCGATGTTTTCACACAGCAAGGGTTAATCCGGAACGGATTAACCTCGCTGTGCGAGGCACCCCTAAATAAATAAAAATAGACCAGCGACTAGCTCAAGAGCATCCCATGAGCTTTTTTGGAGATTTGAACCCAATTCTAAAATTATAACTCATCCTCCCTCAACTAAGGACAACAAAGTTTGGAAACTCTGGGTACCCCTAGGTGTGTTGGATGACAGTCCCAACATCCAGCATTGTGGATGATGGGACTGCCATCCAACACCTGGGGGTACCAAGCAGAGAGAGTGTGTGTATCTCAGAGGCTGCTCTATCTGAAAGAAGCTTCTATCGAAATTCA